CACCATACAGTCTCCTCGTCCTCCCCTTCACAAATCCGTGGTTATTTTCTTTCGAAGTTCACCAGGCCGTCTCCAATTTCACATCTAGGGTTTTCGAGTTTTCCACCTGTCTGGAGTTCTAATAATTTTGAGAATTGTAGTTAATGTTATACGTTTGTTTTTGACAAAATGAACCTATAACATTAATTAGAATTCAATCGATTAAGTTTGAAGACCAAAATCAGTGAGTTTCTTCCTTTTGATTGATTTTTTCTTGTTTGATTAATTCTGCTCTCATAGCCTCTAATTTCTAGTTTAATTTTGTTTTTGATTTAGTTGACTTAGGCCGCATAATTTTTGATTTTTAGTTTTGTTTTGATTTTGGTTATGATATTGTTGGTTTAATTCAGTGGTTAGTTCCTTAATTTTTACTTTATTGAATAGTTTAGTTTGGTTTTGTTTTCTGACTAGTCTCCTTAGCATTAATTTCGATTCTATTGATTCATATTGTGTACGCCTGCCTTTGATACATGATTGTGTTGTTGATATGAATTTTACTTTAGTTTCATTTTTAATTGTTAGATAATGGTTCATTAAAATCACGGTTCAATTTCAATTAATTAGTCTTAGTTAGTTTAAGTTAGTATAGTTGATTGGTTATAGCTGCTGGAGTTTAATTAGTGTCAGTAATTTTAGGAGGTAATAAGGGTAGTTTGGGCATGGGGAAAGGGTAGTTTTATTAAGATTGGTAAATTCAAAACAAAGGCAAGGGTAGTATAGGCATTGTGTAGTTAAAAGAATACCCTAGGACCTTCTAGAAGGGGGCTTTAGTGTAAGTTTTCTGCATTTTAATGCAGTAACTTGGATAACAAGGCATTAATTTAGGGTCTAATAGTCAAAATCTGAAATTAAAAAGGAGGTAAAATAGGTAAAAACTTCCAAAATCTTCTGCCCCATTCTTTGCCTATAAAAGGCACCCCTAATGCCTTCACTAACAAGTTTTTAGATTCTGAAAAATTCCAAAAAAAACATTTCAGCTTTTAATTTTCCCCCAAAATCCCACTCTAAAGTTCTGAAGTTCAAATTTGAACTTCAAAACCTAAGGAAGTGAAAAATCTGCATTCATATAGTTCAAATTTTCTTCTAGATCTGAATTTCCGCCCAAAAAATCCAAAAACAACAGAAAACTTTCAAAAATAAAAAAAAATTACTGTTCCGTTGAATTTTCCCTGTTAATTCTGAATTTTAAGCAGTAATTCTCATCTTTAGGTTTTGCATTTAAGTGCTGAAGTTGCAGAAGTGTCCTAGTTCAAATTTGAGGTGTTTTCTTTGGGTGTATTTGGGCTGTTTTGATCATTTCAAGTTGAAATTGGCTGGTTCAGTCAGTTTTGAGTCTATTTGCTGGTGAATTTCATTTCTGGTTTAACTGGATTTCAAGCTGAAACCACTGTTGCTGTCCCTAGCTGTGTGAAACTGTGCTGATTTCCTTTTCCTTGTTGTATTTCAACTTCCAGGTACATATCCTCGAATTCACCTTAATGTAGCTTCAATTGGAGTTGAAAGAAGAAATGCTCATTGGATCTATGCTCATTGGATGTTTGATGTTGTGGATAGTTAATTAGGTGTTAGTTAATGTTAATCATTTGGTTGGATTATCTGAACCCTAGGCTGTATATCCTGGACTGTATTAATTAAGACTGTTTGGACTTGTTTTGTAATTAAACTATAAAGTCTTTGGACTATTGATTATAGGACTGTATTAATTAGGACTGTTTGGATTTGTTTTGTAGAGGACTGTTGAACTAATTTGATCTCATTCATGAATCACCTGAGTTTTGTGTCTAGTAATGTTAGTTTCGAGTTAATTTGGTGCTGCTGTCCATATTGCCATATTTTACTTTAAAATTGGGAATCGAAAACAATCAATAGTATTGAGGTATACTAGTCTGTTAGAGCTACTGCAGTTAATGTGTAATGGTCTTAAAATGCTCACTTTGTTATGAGTCATCAGCAATTCATTTTAGGTCCTTTTGTTACTCCACTCATGTTTAATCCCTGTTTAAGTGTTAACAAATGTAAATGGGTTTACAGGTCAATCACCAATAACCGATATCTTTTTTTTGAGTAAAATAGATCGTCGGGTCTTCTCTCTTCGTTTTCTTTAATAATATTAATCGAGTTTCGGCTCATGTTAGCTGGACCGTAAAGACTGGGCTCAACGCAGGCCCAGCCGAAAATAGCCAGGCCCATTGTCCTTTTTAATTCAATCATTTCAAGGCCTGGGCAGTATAATGTTGAGCCTGGGCCCAAGGACGATATCAGAAGCCCAAAGCTGGGCCAGCTTTAAATGAAACACAGCATCATTCACCAAACTCTGGGCTAATGTTCAAGGCCCAAATTGTTAAGTCCAAAAATCTTTTAAAACTACATTAGGATATCGGGAATTAATTCACAAATATAAATTTGGGTTTCAAATTAGGTGGCGGGTTCAAATTAAGAGGGTCTTCCCTTTTGTTTGAATTCGAACTTGAACTTGAGGCCCAAATTTATAAATGCGAATTAATTAGGGCCCTTTTAGAGACAACACTGTAATAGAAAATCATAGTTTCTTTTAGGATGGCCTTTAAATAAAAATGAGACGAGCCTCGCCGCACAAAACATATAAATTGCGGGGCCCTCATTAAATACTATGTTGAAATATCTTAGAATTCGGGACATGCCATTTAGCGAATTTTCATGGCTCCCCGCAAAGTAATAAGACGCTAGCCACTTTAGGCGCGCTTTTAATAATTTTACCTTCCTAAACTGGGTGTGCATTTCATGTGACCCAAATCCAAATCCCAAAACGTTGAATAAGAGGTGTCGCGGATCCGAGTGCATTTCATGTGACGTGATCCGAAAACACGCTCTTAAACGGCGTTCACTTTCGTAAAAATAATTAAAAGCGGTAAATAATCTTAAAAAATTGCATTATAGGTTGGAATATGTATAAAAATCAGATTTTAGCCATTTATATTAATTTAAGGGACCATGCTAGAACCACGGGATCCGGGGGTGCCTAACACCTTCCCACGGGTCAACAGAATTCCTTATTCAGAATTTCTGGTTCGCAGACTCCAATTGGGAAGTCGAATTTTTCCTCGATTTGGGATTCAAATTAAATCGGTGACTTGGGACACCAAAAGCCAATCCTTTCCCAAGTTGCGACTCTAAAAATAAATAAATAATCCCATTTCGAATAGTGTCACTTTAAATGGAAAAACTCCCTTATACATTTATCCTTCGGGGTAGGTGTGTAAAAAGGAGGTGTGACAATTTTTATTCAAAGTTCTAATTATGTGAAAGGTATAAAGGGTAGAAAAAACCTTATCTTGAATATTCCTGTTGGAAAGGAAAAAGAACAAAGCAATATCCATTTTTTTACACTTATGAATGAGTTTTTTCCTTCTTTATTTTCGGGCTCTGTCCTTCTCGTACTTGAATTTTCTTTTTTCTTTTGATGATTTACATTTTTCAATTTATAGGATGAGTAATTAAAAAACTAAAATAGAAAGAAGCAACTTTTTGGAAGTTCTGTGAAAAATAAGTGAAGAAGATGCAACTTTTTAGGTAAGAAGAGGAGTAAAGTTATTGGACTTTTTGGAGTAACAGTAGGAATGAGAATGAAAAAAAATAAAGAAGAAGAAAAAAAGAAGGTTTTTATAAAATTCATATATTTCTCCTTTTATTTTCTTTAATTTCTTTTTTATATGACTTGAGTCACAGAGCCACAGTGCCAGCTACGGATTCGGCCGGACTCAGTAGCTTTTGTTAATTATGTACAAATATTAATTCAGAATTCAATAACTTAAAAGAGTTAGAATTCCGAATGCATAAGCTTGAAATCTAACAAATTAGTTTGGTGCATGAGTCGTAGTTATTATTTGTTGTGTTGTTGTTGCGGTATTCTTCCTTTTTCTTTGGGATTCGTTGTTATTCTTCATTATCAAATTTGATAAGGAATTGTCTTGACTGTGAATATTTTAAATTTTAGATATACTCAAATTCCGGTTTTTTTATAACTCGTTGATATCATCTAATTGCAGTTGTTCTAAACTAGTTTATAATTTTAAAAAATTTTAAAAACTGATTCTGGTATTACACTTGAAAGAAAATAGTAAAAAATAACTATAGAAAAAATGGTAAGTCTGAAGATTCTTTTAAAATATCTCATTTATAGATTTCTATTTGTGTAGATGGAATTTGTGCATCGTAGATGGATGTATAATAGGAATCAGCCTAATCGTGCGGGGTTGAGGGATGAATTTATTGAAAGGGTTGCTGAATTTATTGCTAAGGCTCAAACACTTGATGATTTTCTTATTGGAGGAAGGATTAGGTGTCCTTGTGTGAAATGTAAATGTGTTAAGTTATTGGAATCAGACGAAGTTAAAGTCCATCTCTACAAGAAAGGGTTTGTAGAAAATTATTATATATGGACTGCTCACGGGGAGAATCATGCTAGTTTAGATGATACTAACTTTCATAATTCTTTTGGTGGTGAGGGCAGCCCCATTTCGGAGCATAATGTTGAAAATTCTCGATACAATGAAATGATGAGGGATGCTTTTGGGACGTTTCCGGGGGTTCAATCCGAACCAAATGATGAGGCTAAGCGTTTCTATGAACAGTTACTAGAAGCTAGTCGTCCATTGTATGAAGGTTCGGTGCATTCCAAGTTGTCTGTTGCGGTTAGATTGCTAAGTATTAAATCGGATAGTTCTATTTCCCAAGCGGGCATGGATTCTATTATTGGGCTTATGAATGAACTTAATCCGAGTAACATTGACTTACCAAAAGATTTCTACACTGCTAAAAAATTGGTTTCTAAGTTGGGTCTTTCATCAGAGAGAATTGATTGTTGTAAGAAAGGTTGCATGATATAAGGATGACGCATCTCTAGAGAACTGTAACTTTTGTAATCAGCCTCGTTTTAAGGAAGTCACAAATGCCAATACAAAAAGAAAGTTCCAGTTAAAGCGATGCATTACTTACCTCTTATACCAAGGTTAAAGAGGTTGTATGCATCAATGAGCCCTGCTCCTCATATGAGATGGCACTACGAACATAGAAGGCCACCTGGTATACTCTGCCATCCGTCAGATGGAGAAGCGTGGAAGCATTTTGATAGGGTGTTCCCCGAGTTTGCTAGTGAACCAAGAAACATTAGGTTGGGATTATGCACAGATGGATTTACTCCATTTGCTGTCTCTGCTGCACCATATTCATGTTGGCTGGTGTTTGTTACTCCATATAATCTTCCGCCGGAGTTCTGTATGACAAGTCCATATCTGTTCCTAACTTGTATTGTTCCAGGTCCACGCAATCCGAAAAGTTTGATTGATGTATATTTGCAGCCTTTGATTGATGAGTTACAATTATTATGGCATCAAGGTGTGGAAACATATGATATATCAACCAAACAAAACTTCAGATTGCATGCTGCTTTGATGTGGACTATAAATGATTTTTCTGCTTATGGAATGTTGTCCGGGTGGTCGACTGCTGGAAAGTTAGCTTGCCCTTGTTGTATGGAAGACACTAAAGCATTTACTTTGAAATGTGGAGGTAAAAATACATGGTTCGATTGCCACCGTAGATTCTTGCCAATGAATCATGAATTTAGGCGAAATACAAGTGCATTTATGAAGAACCGAACTGATTTTGAGGAGCCACCGGCCTGCTTGTATTCAGAAGAAATTCGGAACAGAGTAAGGGATATGCTTAAAGTAACAGAGTCTCCACCATCTAAGATACCAGGTTATGGTGTCACACACAACTGGACTAAACGGAGAATATTTTGGGAATTACCTTATTGGAAGCACAATCTTCTTCGGCATAATCTGGACGTCATGCATATCGAGAAGAATTTTTTTGACAACTTGTTTAACACTATTATGGATGTTACTAACAAGACCAAAGATAACTTGAAGGCAAGGATGGAATTAAAGGAATATTGTAGGCGAAGTGAGTTGTATCTGACATACTTTAACAACAAGATACAGAAGCCCAAAGCCAGTTACACGTTCAACTTGGATGAGAGAAAAGAGATTTGTAGTTGGGTTAACAATTTGAGGATGCCTGATGGGTACGCATCAAATTTATCCAGGTGTGTTGACATGAAAGAAGGGAAGTTGGCGTCAATGAAAAGCCAGGATTGTCATATTTTCATGGAAGCGTTGATGCCTATTGCGTTCAATGCAATGCCTGATAGAATATGGAAACCGATTACAGAAATAAGTTATTTTTTCAAGGATTTGTGTTCTAGCACATTGAGGGTGGATAACTTAATTTATATGGAGAGTAACATTATCTTAACTTTAAACAAGCTGGCAAAAATTTTTCCTCTTGGTTTTTTTGATGTAATGGAACATCTTCCAATTCACCTTGCACAAGAGGCAAGGCTTGGAGGGCCAGTTCAATGTAGATGGATGTATCCCTTCGAGAGGTAATGAAATTTAATCATTTACCTTTTGTATTTGCTTTAAAGATTGTTTTGTCTAAAAATAACACTATGCAGGACTATTGGCAAATGTAAACGGACCATAAAAAATAGATCAAGAATTGAAGGTTCGATATGCGAGGCATATGTGGCTAAAGAAACATCTTATTTCTGTTCATACTATTTTGAACATGATGTGCCATGTTTGAGAAATAGACCGAATCGGCATGATGATGGAGGCGAAATCGATCCTTTGGCACCACCCTTTTCCATTTTTAATCAACCAGGTAAAGGAGGTCCAAAAAATTGTCCAAAGCGAAGGTTGTCTGAGATGGACCTAAAGTCAGCTACAACACATATATTGTTAAATTGCCCTGAGGTCCAACCTTATTATAGGTAAGTATATATTCGTATATATTACAGACTTTTATATTAAATATGCCACTGATTTAACTAATAAATATTATAATGGCAGTTACTTTGTGGGTACATATGGGCAAGATGTTGTTTATCTCAAGTTTTCAGAGTGGTTTAAAGAATTTGTAAGTATTACTTATTATTTAACATGATTTTTATTACGGAAAAGGTTCAAAGATATCCCTAAACTATGGTATATAGCTCATTTTTGTCCTCCGTTAGTAAACTGGGCCAAAAATATCCTCCCCGTTAGCACAATGGGCCACTATTGTCCTTCAAACTAACGGCCTTGCACACAAGCCATTTTAATCCTACATGGCATCCACGTGTCTGTGATAGTTTTGGACTGTTGTTTATAGCAGTGTTTTTTTTTTCTTCAAATCTGGACAGTTTGGACAATGTTTTTTTGTAAATCTGGACAGTTTTGGACTGTTGTTTATAGCAGTGTTTTTTTTTTTTTGCAAATCTGGACAGTTTGGATCGTGCTTTTGTAAATCTGGACAGTTTTGGTGTATTAGTATAATGAATTGTTGAAGATGCTAAAATGTTATCTTCTGTGCCTTGAAGAAATAGTATAATGAATTATGTAATGTAGAGATGTAATGTTTGAACTTTGAAAACAAAAGATTATGTGTTATGTGAAGTATTTATGCTTAGCTGAATTTAGTAGTTTACTTCTGCAGTATGTTATGCAAATGTAATGATTGTGTGGCTGTGCATTTGTAACATCATGAGAATATGGCCTAGAAGAAATTAAAAACTTGAAACCTTACCTATTAGCAGGACATTACGTATTCACACATACTATGCTACTTCAAAACTTGAAATTTTACCTCAGTTGAAATTGAGTAAGGTGTATTAACATTAGAAACAAAGTCTTGATAAATTCGAATATAGTAAGGTCATCCTCCATAGTGTGGATCATTTATGGATATTAAATTCATCAAGAGAAATTAGTCTCGTTGTTATCCGTTTTTCCCTTGTAAGTTGAAAGGAAAAGTTAGCAGACAAGATCTGTAGTAGCTCTAGCTTGCCTAGAAATTGTTTAGGTTAAGGTTCAGTGGGAATTCTGTTGAGCTTAAAGTGTGTTCCAAGTTGCCTAGTTGCCCATATTTGGTCAAATTGTTCTGCAGCTTCTTTAATTTTTCTGGTCAAATTGTTCTGCAGCTTCTTTAATTGTTCTGCTTTAATACCTAAGAAATGGGTTTTTTGTTATGAAATGGGGTTTGGAGATGGGGTTACGGCTGCCCCTTTATGAAATTGGGTCTTTGTTTGAAAATGGATTTCGGAGCGGGTTTAGAAGGCTGCCCGCTTATGTGGCTGCCATGTCACAGCCATGCGGATGCCATGTAGGATTAAAATGGCTTGTGTGGAGGGCCGTTAGTTTGAAGGACAATAGTGGCCCATTGTGCTAACGGGGAGGATATTTTTGGCCCAGTTTACTAACGAAGGACAAAAATGAGCTAATATATTATAGTTTAGGGACATTTTTGGACCTTTTCCGTTTTTATTATATGTAATTAATTATATATATATTTGTAAAACTCTAAATTATATTTAATTATATATATATATAGGTTCATGATCCAGCTAATGGCATTAAAGACCCATTTTTACGTGATATAGCTTGGGGACCTGACCCTAGAGTAAGAATGATGTCTAAATACGTGGTCAATGGGTACAAGTTTCATACAGAAGAATGGTCTAATGGAAAGAAAACCAACAATAGTGGGGTGTGGGTGAAAGGTGAGGGAGATGTTGATTATTATGGTGTGCTTCAAGAGATTTTGGAATTGGAGTATGCTGTAGGTTGGCCGAAGAAAAAGTTGGTACTCTTTCGATGTAAATGGTATGATCCAACACCGAATAGAGGTACAAAGGTGCACGCTCAATACAACATAGTTGAAATTAAACACACGGGGCAATATAGAGTTTATGGTCCCTTTATCATTGTACAAAAGGTGAAACAAGTGTATTATGCTCCTTATCCTTTGAGCAAGAATAAGTCTGCATGGCGAGTAATTTTGAAAACAAATCCCGTGGGTAGAGTGGTAGTCGAAGATGCATTAGATGTGGCGTACCAGAATGACATTTCAAATGTTGAATCAATAGTGGATGATGAATTAGCAGATGAATTGCAGCATAATGAAGGGATATATGAAGAATTTGATCCTTCTGTCCTTGCTACAAATGAGGACGAAGATAGAGGTGTAGAACATGAAACAAGTGATGAGGAAGGATTACAAGATGAAAGTGAAACAGGCAATGATGAAGACTTAGATGATTACTATGAAGATACAGATGAAGATTAACTTGTTATTCTTAGATGATTACAAATGAGACGAAGATAGAGGTGTCTGTATTTTGGAGTTGCAAATTTATGGTCCTTACACTGAAAAATCATGAAACTTTTGTGATATAATGAACTCCAACTACTTGGTTAACTTTTCCTACTACCCTATCTCTGACACTTTGAAAAACATTAATGCAATTTTAATTGTTGCACACCTACTTTCCTCTTCTAGTTTCCCTTGGCATTGTGGAAAAATTATTGCTACTTCAGATTTGTTATTTTGATTTTTGCAACCGTTTGGTTTCCACAGGCCATGCTTCTTTAGCTTACAGGTACTTATATTTTCTGTCACAAATAATTCATTTTAATTAGATATTGATGGTGTAGTTTGATTTAAAACTTGGTGGTGCTTGGACAAGTAATATCTATATTCACCTCCTCAATATTTCATTTGTCCATTTCTTGTGGGGCTCCAGACGGTACATGAATACCATTTTTCTTTCTTTGCTCTTGTTTATTCTTTGAAGTATGATTGTAAAGCTTGCTGATTATATGACATGTTACGTGATGGGCTGAAACTGAAATCTTTTCAGGGGAGTGTCAGGTACTTTTTAATATGCAGATCTTTTTATCTTGGTTTGGTGGATAAGTTAACTTAACTCTTCTTGAAATCCAGTCTAGGCCTTTCAATTGTTGTTCTTCACAAGGATCTCTTTCATAAGAGCTTTTACAGAAACTCTCTAAATCCCTCCAAACTTATTTTGCTTCAGAGAAACTCACTAATGCATGTTCCTTTCTTCCTCTTCCAATGTCTCAGTCATATGTGCATATGATTCCCTGACAGTACAGTTAATTCATAAGTATGTCAGCATGTGGGATAAATATGAGCTACAGTTTGAAATTACTGTTATGCTTTGGGGCTTATCTTAGTCGTGCACTTCATGGCATTTTAATGACCAACAAAAAGCCCGTACTTGACATGGTTGTGCAGTGTTATCCGGTACCTCGTCATGTAAATTAAGCAATTCAGCAAACAATGCTAAGCCATGGCAAACTCATGAACTTGATGGTAAGGGAAGAAATAGGCTAAGATGGGTACAAAGCAGACACATGGTTTATAACTATTGTGCTGATTCTAAGAGGTTTCAAGGTTTTTCTGCTGAGTAAAAGAGTTCAAGATTTTAGGATATGAGAGTGTGAAATTCTTTATTCTTTGTACCAATAAAAGTTCTGTTTGGTTACTGATTTTGTTGCTGTGTAACCGGTATTCAAGTTTATCCTGTTTTCTTTGATATTCTTACTTGATGAAGTAGTGTATGAGTAATTAATTTCTGACTAACTGTGAAATTTTTTACATTTGTACTTACAGGTAAGCATTGCTTAGTCAACAACAGGCCGTGGATTTTAAGCAAGTTGATTCCCATGTCCACCAATTCAAGGGTAGCAGTTCCAGGTACTTAATTTTAGTTGGTCTCTTACAAAAATAAGCACTTCATTTCTCACTGAGTATAGGGGTTAACAGTCCACTTTAGAATCCTTAAGGAATATCAACAGGGATACTTAAGCAAACAAATTGGTCCTTACTTAAACAAATGATATGATCTCTAGAGAAATTTCTCATTCATTCTAAGCTCATTAGAAGTTAATACACAATCTTACACTCAAACATGGAAGATAAGCATCAAAGGATCTCTCCTAAGTTTATAAGTGAATTACAGTTGACTTATATGAACTTAACAAGGTTACATGATAACAGAGGCACATACATGAGCATGTAAGACATGCAGAGTTTGTTTAAGAACAAGATGAGTGCAGGAAATCTCAAAGATAACATTTGAATATACACATGAGACATTCTTACAGGATTACAACATTACAAACATAGTTGAATATCAAATATCATGAAATCAGACTAACAATATTATTTATAGAAGTTCAAGACAATGAAAGCTTTTACTAAGGAGGCATGGATATGTTATACATGTTAAGGGTGATGATTTAATCATGGTAAAGTTCTGCTCGACCTATCAACATAACAGACCATGCTCAGTCATAGTAGATGCAATTTAGTCCAATCCCTAAGGCATAACATAAGCTAAGTGAGTAACAACTGACAAAATGCATACAAGAATACTTGTAGAAGTTCATTAGAGTTTAATCTTAGCTACTTTAAGCATTGTTTTGTACAATGAGACTCATATGTGGGATCAAGAAGATTCAACAGTAGAAGACAATAGATGTACTAGATTGTGTCTTTAGATTTACTGTGGTTTTAGAAAAAAAGTTCTCACAAATTATTATGCTTTTAGATTTAGATTTATTTACAAGTAGACTATATCAGTATATCCTTATAATTATATGTGTTAATCACGTGATTGTTAGGTTGTTTATTTGTTTCTTTAGTCATTTAATTATTTATATTTACTGTCACTTGTTGTATTTTTTATTTTGTATTTTATTATGATTATATTACAGATATGGCATCTAAGGGGAAGGGAAAAATGAAATCTAAGAAGAAAAAACAATCTGTTCCAACTTCCTCAACTATGCCAAATATGAGTCATCCTCTTCCTCATCCTCCTCAGCCGACTTCATTGCCATCTACCATGTTCACTATCCCCCCTCCATCTAATAATTCAGTTCAGTATTATTCTATGCCTGCTAAAGGCAGTCAAATAACACCGTTTTTAACTTTGTACCCACACCTTCCATACCATTATCTTCACCGGGCTTTCATGGTAGTCAACATGGTGGCTCACCAGCTGTTGCACCCTCGGTCTTTTATGGTAGTCAACATACTGACTCACCAGCTGCTGCACCCCGGGCTTTCATGGTAGTCAGCATACTGGCTCACCAGCTGCTGCACCCCCGAGCTTTCATGGTAGTCAGCATGATGGTGCGTCTTTTGTTGCTCCATCATCTTCCAGTCCATCATCATCATCTATTCCCAGCATATCTAGGTTGGATATTGGAGGCTCTCGCCCAGCTACATCTAGTGCTGCTTCTGCACCATCTCGTAGACGCAGGAAGAATCTTGGAGGGGATGTACAATTTGATAGTTATAATCGATTGATAATCGTCCCCCACAAGAATGGGTAAGAAGGTTCTTATACAAATTTTTATGTTTTGAATGTACATTTAGATATGTTAACATTAAGGAGTATTTATTTACAATTAAAAGATATTTATTAATTATATATATGTTAACTTTAATGCAGGTTTTTTCCATCCTTTCAAGCTATACATATGGTTACAGATTCTATGAAGCCATTTTATCATGAGCCGTGGACTTCTTGGAAAAATATACCGTACAGCATCAGAGAGCAAATGTGGAATCAATTTAGGGTAAAAATTAATTATATTTATTTAATAATTATCATCTTCATCTAATGTTACTTTTTTATATTGCAGACAAGGTGTACATGGCATCCTCAGCATCAAAATGCAATAAATAGTATTTTCGAGAAGAAAGTTAGTATAAGGATTAAAGATACTATGTGCGCTGCTCGGAATTCCGGTAACATGCCGTATTGGATAAGAAAAGATGTTTGGGATAAACTTCTTGAGAAATGGATTACCCCAGAATAGAAGGCAAAAAGTGAACAAGCAAAGGCAAACCGTGCCTCTAAAAAAGGTGGCTCGTTGCACACAGGAGGTTCGATTACTTTTGAGGCCCATAAACTAAGAATGGTAAGTATTTATAAATAATTTCTTAGTTTTACATATAGAATTTTACGTTTGTAAAGTCTAACTTATACTTTTTCTTATGAAGGAAAAGGAAAGAGGGCGAGATGTGACTTACGCTGAGGTCTTCGAGGAGTTGCATAAGAAAAAGAAAAAGGATGGTACAAGAGAATACTGGGTGGAGACGCGTGCGTCAGACACACGTGTAAAATTCTAACTTCATAATTATTTATAGTTTATTAATATTAGTTTGTTTACATAATAGTTATGTTTTTCATTTCAGGAAGATTATCATAAAAGGTTGGAAGAATGGCAACAAACTCAGCCTCCTTGAACTCAACCAACACCTGATGTTATGGCTTCATTGTGGACAGAGGCAGCGGGTGGAACAAACAAAGGCAGAGTCTACGGACTAGGAGTACATCGACCTACAGGTCATCCAAACCCACTCTTAGAGAATTCTTCTCCTCAAAATCAAGAACAGATGGAAGATATGAGAAACGAAATTCGTGGATTGAAGCAACAATTGGACTCCCAAAACGGAATGTTTGTTAAGATGCAGAAATTCATGCGTAAATATGGGCATGATTTATCTGATGATGAGGATGAACTAACTGAATCTGATGTGTAGTAGTTTAGTTGTGATGTTTTGGTTGATTGGTAAACTTGATTGTGAGAGACAACTTTATGTATTGCTTTTAAACTTGAATATGGGCTGCTATTTGGATGTTTTTATGCCCAAAATTATTAGGTTTAAATGTTGGTATTGTTGGTTTAAGTTGTGTTAATGGTTGACATTGTTGGTTTAGAAATTGTTAATGTACTGTTAATTTAGATAGTGTTAATGTATTGTTGGTTCTTATTATTGTATTAATGTATCGTTGGTTTAGATTGTTGGTTGGTATTTTTTGTTTGTGATAGTTTGACAGGTGGTGTAGCTCGAAATTGGGCAGAATTATGCCCAGTTTTGTACAAAAATTCCGACTAAAACGGTCGGAAATCTCCCCAGATTTAACAATAAATTGTCAGATTTTCGACTGATTTGGTCGGAAATTTTTTTAAAATAAAATTAATATTCAGAAATTTTCGACGGAATCCGTCGGAAATTAAATAAAATTTAATTTTTAATTATTAATTTCCGACAGATTCGGTCGGAAATTTCAAAAAAAATTATTAATATTCATCAGTTTTCGACGGATTCCGTCGAAAAATAAATAAAATTTAATTTTTAATTATGTATTTTTCTTGTATTATTACGACCGATTCAGTCGGTAAATTCTGACCACTTCAGTCGGTAAACTGAATTATTTGGTAGTCTGACCATTTCGAAATTTGCGACCACTTTAGTCGAAAATCACCGACGAATTCCGTCGGAAATTGTTTTCCGACCAACTTTTTTCCGACCGACCAAATTCGGTCGGAAAGTAATCGGAAATACGTGATTTTCGACCGAATTCCGACCGTTTTGGCCGTCGGAAATCTGCCATTTTCTAGTAGTGCGTCTACGCTCGTGCTAGTTTGAAACATTCTCACGAAACGATTATCAAACAGTGAAATAATGCATCGTTAGGTGAAGCTTACGTTCATTCTATATATTATATTTTGAATTACCGTGTTCTCTTTAATAGTTTAAACTTTTAGATATAATTATCACACATTTCAGCACAGTATTAAAGTGTTGGGTTCGAATCCATTATAAAAAAAAAAATTCACGTGCTTGACACATAAAAAAAAACCAAGCCCTCAAGTGAGAAAGCGTGTCAGAAATATAGTTAAATAAATAAAAATACACTCTCTTTGACATTTTAAGAGTTATTCCCACTTCCATAAATTGTTGGTTGATTGATGATGAAAGATAATATGTTGGCGTTGACTCATAACACATAGGTCCTTTTATTGCTATTTGTTAGTATTCTTTTTTAAGGAAAAGTGAAAAGAGATTAATAGTTTTAGTGGGATCCCCCTAAATCATTAGGGGGATTAATTAGTTGAATCCTACTAAAGAAATCACATCATAACCACATTTTAGAAGTTAGATGACTCTAGTCGTATCATCTTATTCTGCTTTTTGACTAGTTAAAGCACTGACACCTGCATCTTTATTTCCATAATGATGTGGGTTATCATCAAGAATTTGACACTAATGAAAGTAATTAGGTTCCATGATGTCAACTGCTCCAATACTTAATAATCCCCCAATTTAACAAAAATTGATATTATTTTCTTATTAGTCCGTTACAAAAAGATTGATACATTTCAATATTTCTGTTTACCCTTAAAATCGGATAACAATTAAACTTATAAATGATTTTATGGATATATGATTTCACCTGGCACAAACTGATAAATGTAAGAATTAATGATAGAAATTACGGTAAAATAAAGCAAACTAATATGATGATCAATTATGGCTCTTGAGCTAATTGCCCTCGAACCAACCGAACAAGTTATTAAAAATATGGACTGAATAATAGAGCTTGCAAGAGATAAAAATGTGATATATTGCTTTGATATGCGTGAATGTGAGATGTTCACAAAATGATTACAACCCTCTTTATATAGTAGAGGAATCCTATTTATGGTATAATTCTAATTACAGAAGCTAATCCCATGATAGGCTAAACAACCGGCCTTGACATGATACGTGGCAAGATTTTCGCCACGATCCTTGTCCTATCGCGGATATCTCGGCTTTCTGTTACTCAACTTATCAGGCTTCCTCTGATCTTGCTCGATCTCTTTCTTGCTTAGGTCTCGATCACGGCCGGTCCCGATTTTGATCGGCCATTGAGCCACGAGCTTACCATTCGATCTCTGCACCATGGTCCGAAATAACCGAGGCCGGGCCTTGATCTGCCAGCCCGATTCGGTTAGTTATACAAAATTAGGCAAGCCCGATCTTGACGGTATACAAATAGTCCCCTCGTTTTTTGGAGTGTAATGATAAGAAACGAATTGAGGCTTCGAACTTGCCCTCGGTTTATCATGACGTAAGCGTTGTGACGCAAGCGGCAGAGGTGATCGAAACGTCCCGTCGGTTTGTATATCGAGGCGTTAAATGCTTGTCAGTTGTTGTCGGCCACTATCGGTTCTGAACCGTCATTTTCATCCTATAAATGCACTTTCCTTCTCCTGCCCAAACTTTACTTTTAATCTCTTCTCGTTCTAATCTCCATTTTCCTTCGCCACCTACAAAACCTCTTACCTTCAAGTTTTTGAATTTTCTTGCTTGTTTCTCCAAAACACCAAATATCCTAATCTCTGTTCTCCTTTGTTCACAAGAACAAAATGGCCAAAACATCTAAAAACCGTTACGGAGACAGAAAAGGCTTCCTCGTCTCAGCCGGTCGACAAGCAACCAACGGCGGAGCCACGCCCTGAAGAATTCTTTCCTCCGCCGGGCGTTCTTGACTCCGACTTCAAGGTTGAAAATACCCCCTCGGTTCCGGGCCGATGCGAGCCAATGTCGAGGTACATATGCACAATCACCGGTGGCCTTTTAGACCAAGTTAAAAAGGATTGCAACTGGGTAAACAAGCACGTGGCGGTGCCCTCGCCTGAGGAGTCAATCACTACGTATGTGGAGGGGTTTCTAAGTGTTTACACCTACCCTTTCACATTGGCCCCCCTGACCCGGTTATCGTGGACTTCTGCAAGAAGTACGAGGTCACCCTTGGCCAAATACAACCCTCCTTCTAGAGGATAGTAATACTGCTCCGCTTTTTTGTGAGCCAAGTCGATGGGCTTCCCTTCACCCTCGACCATCTCATACGCTTATATAGCCCCCGACTTTATCGAGGGGGGATAATAAAGCTTCATCGTCGGGCTTCCAAGGCGGATTTCTCGAGCATAGATGAGGACAAGGACCGGGGATAGATGGGCTGATTTGTCCGAGTGAAGACCTCGGACCTGATCCCGGTTGAAAGTATACCATTTCCGGAGAAATGGAATATGAGACGTAAGTATAACTCCCTTTTTAACTTCTGCTTATAACCTACATCTTTTCATCCTTTCTTATTGGCGTTTTATTTGATGCAGCCGTTGCCTGGATGCCGGGTGCGATTCCCCAGCTCGAGAACTGGGTCAGAAGCTTAGTGTCGAAATCGACACACGCTGAGCGCGCATGGCGAGAATTGGCGAAAGGTCGATGGGAGGCCCGAAACCACGATAAGTTTTCATATAACCTGATAGCTTCGACCACTGTTCGGGTATCTTTCCGAGCTTATTCCTCCTATTGCTCATCTAAGAACTTTTGGGTGCTTATGTTTTGCTGCTATGCCAAAGCCATATAGGGACAAATTTAAGTCTAGGTCAATTCCTTCTGTATTTCTTGGCTATAGTGTTGGTAAAAAGGGTTATAAACTTCTGAACTTAGGTAATTTCAACATTTTTCATTCCATGGATGTTTTATTTCATGAGCATATCTTCCCTTATTCTTCTCCCAATAATCTCATCTCTTTCCTCCCTCTGTTTCTACTTCTAATGTTCCTGCCTTTCCACCACCATCATCTTCGTCTCCACCTACTGTACTTGCTTCATCGCCAACATTTTCACCTCCCTCTCCTACACCTGGAGTTTCTGATTCCTTGCCTCTCTCTCCCGTTTCACCTCCTTCTGTTCATACCTCTCCTCTCACTGCTCCTACTAAGAAAATCTTCTAGAACTTCTAATCCACCCCTTACCTTAGTGATTATGTCTGTCCCACCGTCTCTACTCTCAAGGTGCTTTCTATGTCTTCTAAGAATTGTTTGCAAGAACCATAATTTATCATCAGGCTGCCGCTCATCCTGCTTGGCAGGAGGCAATGATGAAAGAATTTCAGGCACTAGAAGCTAACCACACCTGGACATTATTCCTTTGCCCGTTGGGAAGAAAGCTATCCCTTGTAAGTGGGTTAATAAGGTTAAGTAGAGGACTGATGAATCTATTGAAATACAAAGCTAGACTAATCATTAGAGGTGATAATCAACAAGAGGGTGTGGATTTCACTGAAATATTTTCCCCTGTTGTCAAGTTAACTACATTAAATGCTTGTTGTCTGTTGCTATTAAGAAAAATTGGGTGGTCTATCAACTTGATGTTAATAATGTCTTCCTACATGAGGATTTGGATGAAGATGTTTTTATGAAGATCCCTCAAAGGTCTGGTAGTGACTTCTGATGCTCATACTCCTGTCTCTTCTTTATCCTGTAAGCTCAATAAATCCCTCTATAGTCATACACAGGCCTCCAGGCAGAGGTATGCCAAACTATCTTCTACACTTCAATCAAGTTGTTTTCAGCCTAGTTTAAATGACTACTCTTTGTTTAGAAAACTGATTTGGTCTCATCTTACTTTTGTGGCAGTGTATGTGGATGATATTCTTGTGGCTGGTGATGATATGTGTGAAATTAATGCCTTGAAATAGTTCTTGGATGACAAGTTTAAGATAAAAAAATCTTTGTGAGATTCATTATATTCTTGGGTTAGAAATTGTCAAGCATCCTGATGGTTTTTTAGTTAATCAACACAAATTTACTTTAGATCTACGTCTGATACAAATGCTCTGTTGTTACTCCTGTTGTCTCTCCCTTGGATCCTCATGTGAACTTTCTGCTGAGTCTGGTGATTTGCTCTCTGACCCCTCAATTTACAGAAGGTTGGTGGGTAAATTGAATTTCTTGTAGCATACTAGGCCTGATATCTCTTTCACTATCCAACATTTGAGTCAATTAATGTCTGCTCCTAGAGTGCCTCACTTGGAGGCAGCTTATCATGTTTTGAGATATTCAGCTGGTACTTCCTCTATGGGCCTTCTTTTGAACAATGCATCTGATTTTTCTCTACATGGGTTTTCTGATTCTGATAGGACCAGTTGTTCTGATTCAAGAAGGTCAGTTTCTGGTTTTCTGCTGCTCCTAGGAGGGTGTCCTGTTTCTTGGAAATCAAAGAAACAACCTACCATTGCTTTGTCTTCAGTTGAGGCTGAATATAGAGCTTTGCGACTGTTGGTAGCTGAGGTTGTTTGGTTGGTTAGACTATTGGATGAGCTTGGTGTCGACTGTCTTTCTCCTGTTGCTCTCCATTGTGACAATCAGGTAGTAGTTCACATTGCTCGTAATCCTTTTTTCATGAGTGTACCAAACATATAGAGGTTAATTGTCACTTTGTCCGGGATGTTTTGGCTATTGGGCTGATTTCTCTTCATTCCATTTCCACTACTGACCAACTTGTTGATGTATTCACTAAGTCTTTACTTGGTGTGCAGCTACAGGCTTTCCTTCCCAAGCTTGGAATGACTAGCCCTTCCAGCTTGCGAGGGGGTGTTGGAGCTACACTTGATTTCTGCTGGGCCAAGCCTACTTGCACAAGACATGAGGCCAATTCTCCTTGAAGTATAGTAGTGTAATAAAGTAGTTAAGCTTGGCCCAACTGTACATATATATATATATATATATATATATATATATATATATTGTATTAGATCAGATTTCCATTTTAATAAAACCCCACTTTCACATATTCTCTCTCTACGTTACATTTTAGGGTTCTGCTCATTTTATTGTTCATGAATCTAGTTGTTAACAAACAAGGGCTTTAAAATGAAGGGATGAAGATGACGGCTTATCATGGGACAGGGCGCGCATTATTCCGAAATGCCGGGATGTAAGCTTTATTTTCTTAGTAACTAAAGTAAAGTCAGCAAACTCAAATAAAATTGAGATGTACTATCATATGAGATATATTGACTAGGTAGAAAAGAATTAAGAAAAAACCGTTTGAGACAGAGAGCTTTACCTAATGATGTATTATTTTCAATAAAAGAAATTCTTCCTCATAATCGACTCTAGAGAATGTTTCAAGACTAGCACGAGTCTAGATGAGTTCTGATATTGTCTTTGGAAACATTGATTAGACATGATGTTAACATGAAAAGAATAATATCCACCCAATATATTTTACACTTATTATGACGAAATTGCGAGGGGGACATAGCATATGGGTATAGTGTGACTTTCATTCACTTGTTGGGAGGACAATATTGGAGTAACAAATATTCCTTCATTTTTAACTAAAAATTTTCGATTTGAAAAGTTGTCTTTGTTAGGGAATGTTTATCCTCCAAAATAAATATTTTCGACACGAATCAAATTTATAGCCTGTTTGGCCAAGGGTCTTTTTGTAAAAAGCGTTTTTTGTGTTTGCCAAATTTATTTTTGTTTCAAAGTTAAGTTATACCAAGCTTTTAAAAGGAAAAAAAATATATTTTTCAATAGAAGTAGAAACAGCAGTTTTTGAAAAGTAGAAAAAATATCTTCTCCCCAAAAGTACTTCGTTGATTGATGATTGTTGCTCAAAAGTGCACTTCTTTGGCCAAATATTGATTGTTTTGCAAAAGTGTTTTTTCAAATTAATTAATCAAACAACTAACAAAATGTATCTTACAAAAAGTTATTTCCAAAATATATATCCAGATTTTAAAAACTTGGGCAGTGCTGATGCCGACATACGATGAAAAAAAAAAACTTGTTGGGGGCCCGTAGGTTACAAGTGGAAAGTGGGACCCATATTTGGTTCTTGACTCAACCAATACAAGTTAGGACGGACCACACTCTCTATCAACAGCCTATAAGTAACTCTTCTTGGACTTGCACTTTCCCCATTCAAACAACTCTCTTCAATACAATCTCTGCACAAAACCAATAACAGAATCAAAGTTCTCTCTTTTTGTATACCAAGAATTCCTATACAGACACCCTTTTTTAGTTTCTTGATTTTCATCACCACTATTAAGTGAAATATGAAGATGAGCAGCAGCAATTTGGGAAGTTTAAAGAGGAAGCTAATTTCAAGTAGAGGGCTCGGAGGAGTTCTTAGGCAGCAAAGAGCCAGGCTTTACATAATCAAGAGATGTGTGGTCATGCTCCTTTGTTGGCATGATTGAATTTACATTAATTAAACTCCAGACAACCCTTTCAACAAATTTGGGTTATGGGGTTTGTCCATAGTCTTTTTATTCTTCTTTTTTCTCCCCCACTTCTTGAAATTGTACAGAGCAGTAGTTTATATTAGGTAGTAAAAAGGATATTAGCAATTTTGTACTAAATTAAGGCCCTAGTGGTATCTTTATACATCGGATAGCTTCAATGAAAGACAATATCCATTTTGATTATGTTTTTCAATTCTAATCTCTCTTTCGGACCCTTCAGCCTCTGCTTCATTACTTTTCTTCTTCTTCTTATTTATTTTATGATAATGATGTTGAGAGGTTAGCAGTCAAGTTTTTTCTCCACTTGACTTTTTCTGGATATGACCATGAGTACATTCAGCATGTTGGTCAAGTATTTTATTTGATACTCCCTCCGGTATAAAATAATTGATTTTTAAGCTGCTTTCGCACGTATTAAGAAATCTACATTTAGCATTAATTAGCAATGAAATTGAACATATTAATCTTTACTATCTCTTCACATAAATACTCCTAACACATACTCCAACACTATTTACTCCGAGGGCAATGTAAGAAAAAAATAAATAATTTATTTTTGAAATCTAGAAAAATTACTTATTTTGAACCACGAAAAAAAGTCAAAAAATCACTTATTTTGAACCGGATGGAGTAACGAGATTGTTGGAAGTTGTTTCAGAGTTGGGATTTTAAGTGCATTTACTTTAGGTAAAATTTTGTAAAAATTATTATAATTCAGTTGTCAAATCAACGGCCTCAGTGATTTCAACGGCTCAGATCAAAAGTTGGACGGTTTTCTTTTAGGTCGACAACTACTCTCTCTTCTTATTATTGCACCTCCTTTCAAGTTCTGCTTAGAGAATTTCAGACAGAGTTCCTCTCAGTGTTCCTTGATATGAAGTACTGTCTTTTAAAGTTCAAACAACAATACTGTATTAATAAGAGTTTAAAATTAATGCACTTACAAAGCTTACTATATTTAAACAATCAGATTTTTATAAGGTAATTACAACTAAAATTATATAAAGCATTAATTGGCGGTGACCTGTTAAAAATTATAAGTATAATCTGCTACCACTGATAAAAGGATACTAATATTTCCAGAAATTTAATGCCGTTAGTGTACCTAATTTAAATCTTATTGAACTTGTTTCGGCTAATTTTGAAAGAAATATGATATTGATTTTCAAGGAGAAAATTTTTCACATGACAACTTAAGCACAGTAGCAGCAATGCTAGTGCTACTGTTATTTACACAACATAATCTAGAAACATATACCCTAAGGAATATAGAAGAATGACTCGTCTTTTTTGGGTATGGAACTGTTTTTATTAGGAAGTGATTTACTTCTTAATGTGAAATTTTTCGGCGCAAATTTAAATTTAATCGAATTTTAATACGGATATTAAACACCTAAAAACCAAAAGAACTCGTTTTCCCTGTATTTCCTTCCTCTTTTTTTCTCCAATTGCCTCGGAGAAGAGGTAAATGAGGTATTGGTTATATTTGACGTTTTTACATATTTATTAGTTTAATTAGTATTTTTTTTCAAGACTAAAGTTGACATCCCCCAAGTATGATTATTGAGAAAATGCATGATCTAAAGAGCTAAACTTGTTATGATGAAAAAGTTAAATTTCATATCCTATATTATTATGTAGGCCCTTGAATCATTTGAAGCATTAATGTTTTAATCCAATATAAATCAAATTAGTCAAACTAATTCCATACTTTTGATACTGTTGGAAAGCATGTCAAAAAAGAGTGCTAGGGCCAGATATATATATTTTTTTCAAATAAAACTACTACGTACGTTTTTTAATCATTTCATTTCTTTAGAAAAGAAAGTCAGTAGAATGTAATATTTTCTTTTTAATTAGGGAATTCTTTTCAACATTTTTTTTTCTTTTTGAAAGTGGGTGTGATATAAACTAATCACTTTTGCAGTTGCCCGTTGTGATGTTTCAAACTAATAACAATATAACACCTCTTTAATTAACTGAAATAGACGATAATGGCTAAGAAAATCTTGCTTTATTTTCTTGTTGAGGACCAAACAATGATTAGTTAACCAAACGATGATTAGCAAAAGTTAGGATGACTAGACATGGCTAATTGAATGATGATCAGTCCAAAAAGAATAATAAGATTTATGCTGACAGTCTAATGAGCTGGATATCATACAAAAAGACATTTCTTTTTTGTTGTTTTACTCCTTTTCTTTTCGTAGTCAAGATACATCAAAGGATTCTCAATTAGTCCATTATTCATTTACTTATTGTTACCATTGCAAGAGCATGTCCAAAAAGTATCTTGCGTCGACAATAATTACTACTATTTGGTATGACGCAATTTTCAGTTTCTTATATTTATACAATTATTGAAACATAAAACTGCTAAATTAATTATGCAATAATATAGTCTTTAGTTTGATTTCCTTGTCCAGAACCTAACAACATGGATGTATTTACTAGATTATTGCTGTTTGGAGAATTTCTTCCAACTAGCAAATTAAGACACCAAAATTTGTGTGTTTAAAAATGGTATAACCCAACAGCTGGAGGTTTATATTCTTAAGTTCGTTTTACAAAATGTGCCTTGGCAAAATCCACCTGCATAATTAGTCCGCAAATAAGTACTTCCTCCATTTATTTTATTTGTCCATAATGGACTTTGCACGTCCTTTTAGAGATAAAAGATAAAGTGTATCTTTTACTATTGTACACATAATAAAGATAATATTTTGAGAAATCTTAGGAAATGATTGTCAAATGAGTAATTAATGATAATGGTAAAATAAGAAAAAAAATGATCTTCTCTTGTTTTGTAAAATTGACAAATAAAAATAAAAATATATATTTTTAGTATAGTAAATACGTAAAAATAAATGGAGCGAGTATAAGGTCCATAATTTAAGAGTTCCCACTTCCACAAAGTTGTTTGATGATGAAACAATATGTTAGCTTTGACTCATAAGGTTCTTTTCTTGCTTATTGTTATTTTTCTTCAAAGAAAAGTGAAAAAAAAGTTAATAATTTTAGTGGGATCCTCCTAAAGTCTGATTAGGCAGTAGGGGGACTAATTAGTTGAATCCTACAAAAAAGTGCAGATCGTAACCACAATTTGAAAGTTTGATGACTCTAGTTGTATCACCTTATCCTGCTTTTTGACTAATACAAGCACTAAAACTTGCATCTTTGTTTCATAATGACGTAGGTTATTGATCACGTCCAACTATGCCTTGTAAAAAGGATTAAGTGGTCGCTGCAAATATAATCCGGTTCAAGTCCAAAGTCAAATCGCACAAGGAACTAACCTATTTACTACAACTTTAACACTGTTAATGCTAAGCTCAGTCAATTCCCGGATACAAGATTTTTAATGGATAATGAGTAGAATATAGTTAACTAAGGAAAAATGACGATAAAACTAGCAATAATCAAGAATAAAGTCGAATTCAATGGTAAAAGGGTCTAGGGCTATCGATTTCCCCAATTGTCGGATTAATTCCTGACACGTTAGCTATAATCTCGCCGTAACACTCTATGAGGAGTATGAGTTCTGGGCTACCGCAATTATCTCTCGATCAATTACGATAATTTACTAGAAGCATTCTCTCGAACTACTCTAGTTAACAATTTATGCAACTCAGAATTATCCCACCAAAGCTTCGTTAACCCCGCTTTTAAATTCAAGTAATTAATCTCTTACTTAACCGAAGGTGGTGTTGTTCAACAACAATCTAACCAAGTATTCTTTCTCAAGCAACGCAAGATAACTAGACACGATTAGTCAACGGCCCTTTCAATTAATCACAAGACAACACGTAGTTGAACAATCATAGAGTAAAAACAGCTCAATTATATCAAAACAGAGTCAAGACTTCATCCAACAATTGGTTCCATCAACCCGATGACGGGTTTAGCGACTCATACTAATAATTTAAAATTCACTATAGAAAGTCATAACCAACAATGGAATTAAGAAGAAGAAGATGAAAACTCTTAGGGCAATTCTATCTTCCTCTGGTGTTCTTGCCTCCAAAATCTCTCTAAAAATAACTATCTTTCTCTTTTGGGCGAATTAGGCTTCATATAGGTTTAGGTTAGTCGCCTTGGGAATTATATAATTGACCCTGGGCTATGTCAGCCCGTCAGCGGCCGCGGATTTGACCGCGGATCTGGCCGCGGATTTCACCCAGTATTCTGCCTTCAGTGCGCGGCCAATCCGTGGTCAATCCGCAGCCGCGCACCTGGAGGGGACTTCGCCACTTGCTTTCTTTCTCCTTTTCGACCGTGCTAACCTCCGATTGGCCTTCCACGCTCCATATTGACTCCAAAACACTCTTTAGCTTCCTCATAGCTCGGAGTGTCTCCTGCAAAGCATCAAACTCTTAATTAGAGCATTTTGTTATCTTTTTAACATTCAAACATTGATAAAGTGCGGCAAAATTAGAGTGTAAATAGTATCTAAATTGCATAATTATAGCCTACTATCAACACCCCACACTTAAACCTTTGCTCGTCCTCGAGCAATCAAACCACACTCTATAGAGACCTAACTTCCCTGAGCGACTTCCCTAACTCATCACACCAAGAATATTCCACATAGATTGAGTGCATTAGTGTAACATCTACACCTCAAGAGTTGACTCCCGCGAGCCACGCAATATTCCTAACCGGCTTATTTACTCTAACTCAGAGGTCCAGACTTACCTCTCCTTCATGAATCAAGTGCCCACTCACAAAAAAAGATACTCATTCCACAATCAATAAAATGCACGAACACGGAGGAACTTCAAAATGAACAAAATTAACTCACCCCCAGAAATGATATTCTTGTGCCACAGAAAACGCTGCATAGGCTTGCCCGTAGTTTACTACTCTACTAATTGAGCTCATTTAGTCTAGGATCAAGTAGGACTTTATTTGACTGTAATGTAAGTTGCAGGTCGGGTAGGATATATTTGGATATAATAGTGACTATACCTCCCTAAGTACTTTAATACATATATTTTACACTCAAGCCCACACTTAAGTTAAACCAATATTTCCACCTTCAACACCACATATATCACCCCATACTTCTTTGAGCATAATCACCTTAAAAACCACCAAAGAAATATTAATAATCAACATAATGCACTATTAACATTTTTTTTAATCAAGCGGCTTTTTCAACAAGGTGCACCTTTCTCCTTATTTTCCTAGTTCCACTAAAAATCCCCACCAACTACCCC